TATTATAACATCAAATTACATATCTAGCCAAAAGAAAAAGATCAAACTATGTAAAAAAGAAAAATCTTATAAATCAAGCAAAAGAAGTACGTACCTTCCAAGATGTAGCTTCTCATCTAACATGAAACAACCAGCCAAGGCTACAAAGACAAGCATGAGAGGATTGAAAGCAGATACATAAACAGGGCCTCTCATGTGCATACACCATGACATCACCACTAATACCATTACACCAGACACAACTATTCCCTATATCATTATTATTAAAATTAATTCACCACAATAACAAAAATTGATTAATCCAAAAAAAAACTTCTCATATTAATATGAACAATAATGACATATATACCGAGTAAGCTATAGTAAGAAGCCTAACACTCCAACACAACTTCCATTGAGTCATATCTCTTTCAAGAGAGAGAGCAAAAACAATAGATATGATTGCTACAACCACACTCATCAAAGCTGTGCTAGAGTAATGACATGGGTAACTTTCACTCATCTTTGTCTATATTAATGCAATAACCCAAAGAAAAAATATGTTTAATATGTAATAAAATGAAAAATGACAAGTAAAAGAAGTAAAATGATCATATATTGAGAAGCAGACCTAAATAATAAGCCATAGAGCATAACTACACTACAATAGAATAAGCTAAATATGACACCTTATATTTAACAATTATAAGTGTAAAACAACAAATAAAAAAGGCGGTAAATACTTGATAGTTATTTCAAAATAACCGTCAAGTATTTAGTACATATTTGATGGTTATATTCACGTAATCGTCAAATATATCTGCATCCCATATTTGAATTTTTTATAAATATATTTGACACTTGTTTGCTAATAACCGTCAAGTATATTTTGGTATACTTGATGGTTATTTGTAAACAAGAATCAAATAAATAATTTAAATGAAAAAAAAAAAAAAATTAATTACTTGACGCTTGTTTATTAATAACCGTCAAGTATGGCTGCATTTTATTTGACGGTATTTTAATAACAAGTGTCAAGTAAGGAATACTTGACGGTTATTATGAAATAACCATCAAATATTGCCTTTTAAATTTATACTCAATAACCTTTCATTTTCACATTTCTGCAACTTAAACATTTTTGAAAACACACCCAGAGTGCTTGAAAATCATTTTTCGTCACCAAAATAGCCTAAAAACATAGATTTGGACTCGATTCTTCGTGGGTTTTGCTCATGGGTTCCATTTTTTGGGGTTCGTGTGTTGTTCATTCATCGAAGTCTTCATTTCGGGCATTTTGGGTTTGTTCTCCATTTTTTATATGTAAGTTTAATTTCTCATTCATCTTTTAATTCATTTTTGAGTCTAGTATTTAGGATAAATCTGACTTCAAATTCCCCTACTTGCTTTTCAACAGTGCAAAATGCGAGTTGTCTTCTTTCCTCCTTCCCCTGCTTTCTTCTTCATCCTCGTGCTCTGCCTCTCTTAAGTAAGTTGGCCTATCCTTCTTCCTTGTGGTATTGTTATCAATTAATTGTAATTAGGGAGTTGATTGGAATTAACAATTGGAATATGAATTTTTTTGTTCATTAGAACCATGATTTGTGATTGAATGTATATAGGCTTTGGTTTTTAGTTCTTTGTTAGTTACAAAATTAAATTTAAGATTATATGAAAATTAATTTACTGTTAGGTATTATATGAATTTGTTAAAAATTTGCTTCCCTTGTTGTGGTGATGGTGATTAATTTGTTGTTGGATAACTTGATTAGATATGATTGACTTGTATTGAATTTATAGGACAAAATTTTTGTATTAATTGTTGCTATGGATAATTTGATTAGGTATAAGTATTATATGTGAATTGTGAATGATGGAATTTTTGAATAAAGAGAGGGTTCAAAACCTGAAAAACTCTTTTTTTAAGTTATTATGCTGTCGAATTTTTTGGGATAAAATTTTTATATCAATTTTTGTTGGGTAACTTGATTGAGTATAATTAAGGTATGTAGCTGCACATATTGAGGAAACCTTTGAAGAGGTAGCTCAGGCCGTGTTTAACATGTGAATAGTAGCAGTGGTTAGACCCAATTAGTTTTGATATACACATTTATTTATTTTTTGGTCAATTTTATGTTTGAGGCCAATTAAGTTTGAAATTTTAACTTGTAAAGTAGGCAAAGTTATAGATTTTTTATGGCATCGGGTTTAGGGTATAGGTAGATATAGGAGATTAAAGATATTTGGATTGTAATTTTAATATAAATAATGATTCAATTGTTTTTTATTATTGGCTGGCTAGTATATATATCTGATTGCTTTGTATTTGTAGGGGACTGCTTGAAAAGGAGCCCCCAACTTTAAAAAAAAAAGCACATTATAAATACTTGACAGTTATTTAGAAAGAAACATCAACTACAACTTTACTTGATGGTTCTTTCGAAATAACCGTCAAGTATGCATACTTATTTGACAATTATCAAATATTTGGCACACAGAATTTGCAAAATATATATGACAATTGTTTCGAAATAACCGTCAAATATACTAAATACTTGATGGTTATTTCATAATAACCGTCAAGTATATTGATACAGTATACGATAATGTTTAAGTGATTACTTGACTGTTATTTTAAACTATCAAGTGGTCTCTAAAATATTTGACAATTTTTAACTGTCAAATAAATATATGATGCCCCATTACTTGACGATTAAAAACCGTTAAAGAATTTTTAAAATAACCGTCAAGTAAGGAAGTATTCTGTAGTAGTGTTAGAGTGGCTTCCTAGAGTGCAAAGACCACCTAAGAGGGTGTTACTATCAAAGGAAGACTGCAGTGATACCTCGTGTCCATTACGATGATGCATGAGTGTGGCGTGGAAAGAGCCTGTGTGTATTTCTAAACCTTTGAAAAATGTTAGAATCATAGCCCCACTTATTCCTATCATTGTTCCAACAATCTTGGCTTTTCCTGATGCTGTTCGTAAACCCAAACTTTCCAAGCTATTCATCATAATTTCATAAATAAGTCATATTATAATATAATTCATGATTTGTAATTTTCATATGCTAATTTGTGGTGATAGTATTGTATAGCAATTTAATTTACTCTTTAAACATTTGCTCAATTATTGATTTAGCTCCTTTAGTTTTTTGATTTAAAGAAATATAGGGAATGAGTTGTAGTGAATAAAAAAAATTATTGTTTTGAGTTGAGAAACTGTAAGGATTAAATTGTTTTGCAAAGTTCAGGGATTGAATTGATAATGAATTAAACATTTAGTAACCAAGAATTGCATTTCCTCATAAACAAAAATTGCAAGAAAGTTGGTTGGAGGAAAAAAGAAAAAGGTTCACACAAAGAACCATAAAAGAAGGAAATTTATGTGGGCATGAAATCAGAAAGGTGCTCAACGTTTAAACCTAATTAATCAAAGTTATATATTTGTGAGAAAAGAACAATGAGAAATGAAGGATAGGACTAAGAAATATAAGAAATTGTGCTAAAATAAAAAAAAGAAGAAAGAAAGTTCTAAATGCAAGGACACTTACGGGAAACAAACAGCCATTATAAAGGTGATGGCTGGAACAAGGTTGGCCATCACTGTAGCAAATGTTGCTGATGTTAAAGCCAGTGCTTCCATGTATAAGTTTTGCGACAATGATCCTCCACGTATATAACAATTCATATATCATCATAATATTAGTTACTTTATTTAATTTATTTGTCCCAGAATAATATCAAACAAACCATGTCTAGAGAAAAAAACTTATAAAAGAAAAAAAGCAAACCATTGTTGAGGAAAGAATAACTTCTTTTAGTAGATAAATACGATACATATATATAGATTCAAACTAATAATTGTTTACCATTATATTTGCAATTAGATTTTTTTTTTTGCCAACATATTTGCAATTATATTTTGAGTTTGGAAATTCCAAGGTAAGAAATTATATGAATATTTTTAAAATAGAAATTAATGAGTAAGTCATACACTCCTGCGTTAAGAAAAATTAATTTTGACCGTTAATTAATAAAAAATAATAGTAAATAAAATCAAAATTACAGAACATGTAATAGCCCTAAAAAAATTAAAAAAAAAAGATAAATGAAATGATAAATAAATTAAATGATTTTTTTTTCAATTGATATTTTATTTTATTGTTTTAGTTATATAATAAATAGGGAGTAATGGTTCAGTGGAAACTATGTCAGTTGTTATTTGGAGGTATGGGGTTCGAATCTTACCTATACTAATGGAAATTTCATTTTTTGTTGGCATTGAACGAAGTTACCAAAATGCCCTTACCTCTTGTGCGATTTTAGAAAATATCCATTGGGTTTCTTATAATTTTTCCTAATAAACTTTATCTCTTTAAATTTCCTTTCCTTTGTCGGTCAAGAACAAAGCACGAGGGGAGAGAGGGAGAGAAATCCTGGATCTAGAAATTTCAAGCTTCTCTATCTTCTCCATCCATCTTCTCCGTCTTCTTTATCTATTCTCATATGTCGTCAGTGTTGATGAGTCTATAAGCTTCGTCTGCCACTGCAAGGAGTTTGGTTGTGAGTTCTCCCAGGTGTGATGTCAATCGCTTCCCTCTTCCTTGTTGTGACGTTGTTTGGTGTGCATGTGGGCTTTGAATTTCAGTTCCCCTCCTCTGTTTTTGATGCTGTGAAAGGATGCATCGAATGGTCTTCTCCCTCTTCCTTGTGCAGTGTCGTAGGTTCTTTCTCCTCCTTCTCTGCTCACGTCGTTGCTGGTTCAAGGTAGGAGATTTAGTTCTTTTCCTTCGCCAATTGTGTGTGCGTGTGTATTGTTTGATTGGGGTTGCAATTAGTTATTTCTTGCTCCTGAGCGTGGAAGAGGAGAATAGGTGGAGTGTGATCCAGTTGAAACTTTAATTTTCAATAGGAAACTATGCTTTAAGCCCTTTGATTATTGTAAGAGGCAAGGTGGGTAACCTTTTCATATTTGAACTAATTATTATTATTTTTTTTTAGAAGTTTGATAAACTTGAAATTAACATAGAAACTGTTAGAATGATATTTGATAAGAAATTAGTTTGGAATTAGAGGTTAAGATTTGATGTTTACAAGTTGTTAGATGAAATGTTTATTAGGTGGACTCTGCTTGAATATGTATTTTTCTGAATTTTCACTAATTTTTTTATAAGCATACTTGGTATAGGTTATTGATGCATTAACTTGAGATTTAAGGAAGAATTGATTAGCTAAGCTCTTGAGAGTCATATGGTTGATACTTACAAACATTAATGTTGTTTAATTATTTAATCTTAATATGCATGAAAGATGTTCAATGACTTGAGAGAGTAAATGTGGGGGTGTGTGTGTGTGTGTAGATGTGCTTATACGCACCCTGATTAATGTTTAGTTACATAATTCAAAGAATGGTTGGGAAAACAAATTAAAGTATAAGCAATTTGTTAGATGGGGAAGTAGGCATGTAAAGTATTAAAAGGACAGAAGAAATTAAGACTTGGTTGATTAAATTATAATGAT